TAAAAAGAGAATTTGTTATGTTTACTCTAGAACAGTTGTAAGTCTAGAGCAACTTGTGCTTCTACAAATATGGTCCACACATTATTTTGATGTGATTTTAAGATGAGTCCAGACTCCAAGGCCAGAGAAATCTGCTTATATAGCTCATAATGTAATTACAGCTACCTTAAGACAGATGAGGCAGAAGGCAACAATATATTGAAACTGATTGAAAAATGCAGTTGTCCAGAAGCACTTGTGGGGAAGAGGTCTCTGAAAAGCTGCTCAAAGCTTCAGAGTTTGAAGTGAAATTTTTGATGTTGTCACTCTCAATCTATTGAATGGCTGACGGACAATCAAACCCGTCTGGCTAGCTGGCAGCTCATTTTGCTGGCAGGTGGCAAACAATTAGACACACCAATTTGTGCCTCCTGATGACATTAAAGCATGAAACTAAGTTGTATGCAGGGCCTAGTGATTTGTGTGAAAGCATTTCAAAAATAATACTCTTTGCCGTGGCAACTCATTTCAGACTGCCACCTTCCATTATGGCTTTGAGTAGTGAAGACGACAGACTTGAGTTACGTGCAGTGCAAGGGCGCTTCTGTTCAATCCGTCATCAGCGCCCCCCGAGACCTCAATCCCTCCTTTCATCAATATCACCTCATCATTTACATTCGATAGTACTTGAACTGCTGAATACATTAACCACACAGAAGACCTATTCCGTAAGATACGCTGAAACATGTTTCTCTGCTTCTACATTTCCAATTCTGTGTACTTTAAAATGAATTATAATGTTCATAATGTTTCATAGGACAGCACTGTTAAGATTCTACCACTTCTGTTTCTTCAACATATTCCTTTCGTCATAACTTCTGTATGATTATGAGCACTTAATTTCTGTGTGATTTTGGACATTTAAACATTATTATTTTTTACACTTTATTATTAAACTAAGCAACTGGACGGAAAAACACCTGGCATTTAGATACTTTAATGCTCTAAAAAATAAATAAATCCCTGCGGTGATTTGAAAATTTGCAAGAACCACCGCAATCCTGCAGAGATAGAGGTTTAGAATACTAATAATGAGATTGTTAAGACTCTCTAGTGATATCAAAGGGGCTTGAATAAGCCCATGGCCAGTAGCTGCATGCATAGTTTTGGAAAAATAAGTTTAGCATATTTCTTGTTAAACCAACACAGATGGTCATGTCAAACCCCCTTTTTTAGCATTGTAGGAACTGTAGTGAGCAAACCTCATTTCCTCTATCACACATGTGGAGATTGAAAGCTTCCACTTTCAGTTTTGAGGAAACTGCAGTTTACCATTATGACCAAATTAGGGACACTCTAGTTTATTCTGTTTCTAGTTAACTGAGTCAAACAAGTTTATGAAACCATGTGCTCAGTCCTGGTTTGTTGAACAGGGGATGGTGGAACACATTAGAGGTTACCCACTATGGTTTAGCATGATGTGTGAACTGGGCAATACCATACACAGTAGGAACTACAGCAATGAACTTTAAAAAGAAAACACATGATTTGCAAATACAGATCAACATGCATAATGAATTCTCTCCAAGTGCATTACGACTATTTTAACAAGTGTTTGAAGTTTCCTGTATACTTCCTTAAGTTTATAAATGATAATAATATTACTAATTTTATTATTTGTACCCCACCCAAATGACTGTGTTTCCCCAGCCACTCTAGGAGATGCATGTTTTAATTACACCTTCTCCCCTTCTCGTTATAGCTTTATAAAGTAGATATGTTCATTGACTACTAATTAGACTTAGCTGTTAAAAGACACAATTCAATCCAGATACCTTTCCCATAAACAATAGGGACTGTTTATAGTAAGGCAGTGCACATAGATGTAAACCAGCTGTATTTTCACTGCACAGTCTTTATCAGCATATTACAGACAATATACACGTTCAAGTGCCAATATGAATATATCATAGTAAGTGAATCAATCATGCCATATACCTGTCAAAGGAGTGATACTGCATTGGGAGAATAGGCTGAGCTTCTCTCTTTAGTGCAGGATCAGGGTACGGAATAGGATCAGGCCCACATTCTGCAATTTCAACAGGGGCTGCCACCAGACTTTTTAATATTTCCTTGACATTGATGCCCTTGCTTTGGCTGATACTTGATATTGAGGATGCAGGTTTCAGAATTTCACTGGGGCTTTCTGTTAAACTTTCCTGAGATTTCTTCACCTCAGAAGACAAAGTAGACAATAGTTCACTCATAGCATCAGGACCTGTGCTTGTTTCTAAGTCTGTCCCGTTCAAGATACTGGGCATTTGCTCTTCTCCAATTCCGGAATCAGTATGAGGAATGGAGCTTTCCAGCTGAATATCTTCAACTGGCGTCGGAGTTTCTTTTTCTTTTATATTATCTGGAAATACAGCAGGAGTCTCTGCAAAACAAAATGATTTTTAAAAAACTGAGCTTGAAAATTAGCATTCCTGTATCAATAATCTTTTATCAATAGAGGACAAAACTCTAGGTGTGCTGGTAGAGGCACACCTAAGAGGCTCACCGTGATGAACATGTTATGAAACTGAACTCCAGAGGCAGCCTAAGACATTTTGGTACCTCAGGTAAAAGACAGGATGGTGTGTCACATTCCTACATAGAGAAGCTGACTGGAATGAGAGTTAAATCTTCGTTTTACACTAGCAACAGGTTACTGTCCTCCACCACACTTGAGAGCAACAAGGTAGTTATGGGGTTTTAAGATAGGCCACCTACCTGGCACACACAATTCTGACCTCTAAATAAATGAGTCCAGGTAGCTACAACCTGCGTACTTGCTTCCTCTTTCAAAAAGAAGCCACTGAACAATTTCCCAGTTCAAATGATCTATAGCATTCCAGAAACAGGAATTCCAGATCTTAGGGATAATATTATTCTCTACTGTTATATTTTCATTTTTTGAGCATATGGTAAAAGACAAACTATTTTTTTACATAATTATGTGAAAAATATAGATTCTCTCCTGATTCAAGAATACCAAACATTCCAAATGGCTTCCTACCATCCTACCCACAGCTGCACAAGGAAATCAAAGATATGAGGACGCTTCATAACTGAGGACAGCCTAAATTATAAGCCAAATAGTTTCCTAAGTAGATTATATGTAAACTAAGAGCTAAATATCACAAATGTAAATATTACTTATTTGATTTCAGTCACATTTAGTTTTAAGAATGCTTAAAATCAAACATAATCAAAGTGCCCTATTTCCTGAAACTGACAAACATATTCAGTAGCTAACATTTTAGCTTAATTCACTGCATTTCTATCCTCCCTTCCTCCAAAAAACTCAGTGTGGCATACATGGTGTTTCTCCTCATCTGCACAACAACCCTGTGAGGCTAAGATATTTTACCTGGATCAAAGTCAACCAGTAACATTTGTGGCTGAATGAGTAGTTGAACCCAGGTTTTTCCACTCTTCAGTGCAATACTTACAGCCCATTATTGTAATATGTAAATAACTTCAATGTACATTTTTTTATTAATAATAACTATTACCATAATTTACTTTCTAAACTGCTGGCCATTTTATTTATGACAATTTTGTGAAAGGCTGTCTCTAGACATATTTATTAACAGGAGCAGCATTTATATGGTACTTTCCCTGTGAGTTTAAAGAGCTGCACATGTATTATTTTAGTAATCCTCGCAACAGGCCTGTTGTTGTTGTTTAGTCGTTTAGTCGTGTCCGGGTAGGCCAATATTATCATCTTCATGCTGTAGACAGGAGACCGCGCTCTAGAGAAAAGCAGCTTGTTGATGGCCAACTAGAAGGTGCATTGCTGAAGTGAAATTTGCATTAAGGATTTCACATCACACTCTTTAACCACTGTACTACATCTCATTTGATCCTACTAAGAACAATTGTTTTATGTCGACAATTTTTCAAAATATCAGAAATCCCCAGTCAAGCTTAGGAAAAAGTTATGGAAAGTTGCTCTATCATAACACTACATTGTTGCCAAGGCCTATAAATATTTATATTAAAAAGTCTGAAGAAGAAAGGGAGAGGGAGAGAGAACTCAAATTAAGAAAATTGGAGCAAACAAAGTGCAACCAATTAAACAACTAACCTTTATAACTCCAATGGAGTACTCTCAAAATGATTTTAAGGGGAGATCTCTGGCAACAGAGTATAGGTAAGGTAATTGCATGATATATTTCACCTGTGTGGTTTTCAAGCACCTAAAACAGCTGTGGAAAGGGAGAAAGGGACTTGCTACTATGCTTTGACCCTTTTAAATTCACCCATCCCCCATTCCCCTGGCCAATTCTGATCTTCTTCAGAAGTCAAAGGATATGGAACATAGCAACTCCATCTTCCCAAGCCTTTATCCCATTGTAGTGAAAGAATGGTATAAGCTGCCACAGAGACTGGAACCTCAGCATGAGAGCTAACAGGCAACACCTGAGCAGACTAAACATTCACATAATGGAAGAGGTGCTCATGCCACACGCAGGCACTCCTCTCACCTTTCTCAGGATGCCAGAGCAACCATATTTTTTATTTCAGAAATAACCTTTTTTCCTTTCTGTTAAGATTTCCGCATTAAACACCAATTTTCTCTATTTCATAAAACCGTGTGCCTCTGATCTTTGAGTTTTATCACAAAGTTGACTTTTTACACCTACTTAGGTACAAGGAAAACTAAAGAGGGGCAGCAGCAAAAATGATAACCAATTACATGTGTTTAGGTTATAATTTATAAACCTGCTGTCAAAGCTTTCAACGATCCTCATCAGTTTACTGTAGCATTAAGACATAGCAGTAGACAAAGGAAAGAGAAATGCTAAACCTGGTAATTTTAACCTTGTCTGAAAGAAAACAGTTGGGTGCCAGATGCCTCTTTCCTACCATTTTTCACTGTAATTGCAGAGTTCATTTATTACACCAAAGCAAAAAAATAATGACGTTAGTTATGTAAATTGGTTTCTGAGATGACCTCATTCTTTTGGGGAAGGGCTGTGGCTCAGTGCTAGAGCATCTGCTTTGCATGCAGAGGACACCAGTTTCAATACCTGGCATCTGCAGGTAGGGCTGGGGTTGCCTGATTGAAACCCTGGAGACACCCTGCCAGTCAGTGTGGGCATTATTGAGATCGATGGACTAAGATTCTGATTCAGTATGAGATAGCTTCTTATGTGCTTTTCTCAGCATGCCTTGATTTGCTGAGATTTTTGAAGCATGCTTATCTATTTTTGTCTACACGAATAAATTCAAAAGAGTTGATACGAAGCTATCATTTCAATGATTTATCCAACACATAGGTATTTTATCCCAAGTTGGAAGCGAACCTTCTCTCTTTATGAAAGAAAATAAAAACAGGCTCCAATCCTTTGTCTGGCTCAGCAGTAGACTTGGATGAGGTAGAGTTATCATCTGGAAAGCCATTTCCTCTAGTCCCAGATCTCACAGGCCAAAGAATGTGGCCTTATTGCACCCCATGGACCAGAGCACGCCAGGCACTCCTGTCTTCCACTGCCTCCCGCAGTTTGGTCAAACTCATGCTGGTAGCTTCGAGAACACTGTCCAACCATCTCGTCCTCTGTCGTCCCCTTCTCCTTGTGCCCTCCATCTTTCCCAACATCAGGGTCTTTTCAGGGAGTCTTCTCTCATAAGGTGGCCAAAGTATTGGAGCCTCAGCTTCACAATCTGTCGTTCCAGTGAGCACTCAGGGCTGATTTCCTTAAGAATGGATAGGTTTTGATCTTCTTGCAGTCCATGGGACTCTCAAGAGTCTCCTCCAGCACCATAATTCAAAAGCATCAATTCTTCAGTGATCAGCCTTCTTTATGGTCCAGCTCTCACTTCCATACATCACTACTAGGAAAACCATAGCTTTAACTATATGGACCTTTGTTGGCAAGGTGGTGTCTCTGCTTTTTAAGATGCTGTCTAGGTTTGTCATTGCTTTCCTCCCAAGAAGCAGGCCTTTCGTGACTGCTGTCACCATCTGCGGTGATAATGGAGCCCAAGAAAGTAAAATCTCTCACTGCCTCCATTTCTTCCCCTTCTATTTGCCAGGAGGTGATGGGACCAGTGGCCATGATCTTCGTTTTTTTGATGTTGAGCTTCAAACCATATTTTGCGCTCTCCTCTTTCACCCTCATTAAAAGGTTCTTTAATTCCTCCTCACTTTCTGCCATCAAGATTGTGTCATCTGCATATCTGAGGTTGTTGATATTTCTTCCGGCGATCTTAATTCCGGCTTGGGATTCATCCAGTCCAGCCTTTCGCATGATGAATTCTGCATATAAATTAAATAAGCAGGGAGACAATATACAGCCTTGCCGTACTCCTTTCCCAATTTTGAACCAGTCAGTTGTTCCATATCCAGTTCTAACTGTAGCTTCTTGTCCCACATAGAGATTTCTCAGGAGACAGATGAGGTGATCAGGCACTCCCATTTCTTTAAGAACTTGCCATAGTTTGCTGTGGTCGACACAGTCAAAGGCTTTTGCATAGTCAATGAAGCAGAAGTAGATGTCTTTCTGGAACTCTCTAGCTTTCTCCATAATCCAGCGCATGTTTGCAATTTGGTCTCTGGTTCCTCTGCCTCTTCGAAATCCAGCTTGCACTTCTGGGAGTTCTCGGCCCACATACTGCTTAAGCCCGCCTTGTAGAATTTTAAGCATAACCTTGCTAGCGTGTGAAATGAGTGCAATTGTGCGGTAGTTGGAGCATTCTTTGGCACTGCCCTTCTTTGGGATTAGGATGTAGACTGATCTTCTCCAATCCTCTGGCCACTGCTGAGTTTTCCAAATTTGCTGGCATATTGAGTGTAGCACCTTAACGGCATCATCTTTTGAAATTTTAAATAGTTCAGCTGGAATACCATCACTTCCACTGGCCTTGTTATTAGCAGTGCTTTCTAAGGCCCATTTGACTTCACTCTGCAGGATGTCTGGCTCATGGTCAGCAACAACACTACCTGGGGTGTACGAGACATCCATATCTTTCTGGTATAATTCCTCTGTGTATTCTTGCCACCTCTTCTTGATGTCTTCTGCTTCTGTTAGGTCCTTTCCACTTTTGTCCTTTATTATGGTAATCTTTGTACGAAATGTTCCTTTCATATCTCCAATTTTCTTGAACAGATCTCTGGTTTTTCCCATTCTATTGTTTTCCTCTATTTCTTTGCATTGCATTGCTCGTTTAAGAAGGCCTTCTTGTCTCTCCTTGTTATTTTTTTGGAAATCTGCATTCAATTTCCTGTATCTTTCACTATCTCCCTCGCATTTTGCTTGCCTTCTCTCCCCCACTATTTGTAAGGCCTCGTTGGACAGCCACTTTGCTTTTTTGCATTTCCATTTCATTGGGATGGTTTTCGTTGCTGCCTCCTGTATAATGTTACGAGCCTCCATCCACCATCACTATAGGAGCCAGCAATTACAGAATAGGGCAATGGCCCCTCAAAAGACAGCTCTTCTCAAGTCCTAGAGAGCACTGGCTTCTGTGAGCTTTCTATGACAAGCTGTCATCCATCCTGCCACTCTAGTTGGGATCTGGCAGCGTTGACCACTGGATTCAACTGGATTATTAGACTATTGGGTAGGACTGCAACAGAAGACTCGACTAAACTACCACCTTGCCTTGTTCCTGCTCTTCAGGATGTGACCCCTATCATATCAACAAGTGCCCCAGCATCAATCTGGCCTCCCCAGAAAATCTATGCCAGCAGAAGACAGGATCATATCCCAGCTTGAATGCTTGCAACCCGAATTAAGATAAGCACAGCCCTACTCCCAGACTGCTTCAAGCAGGGCCATGTTCACCTTGATCCTATGAGCTGCCTCCCATTTTCTCTATCCCAATGACCAGAAATTATCTTAATCATTGGCAGGAGGTGGTAAGCATCCCCTAGGTCCCAACAAGAGTGTCTTTTCCTGCTGGAATTACTGTTAAGGAGAGGATCCTGGAAGGGTTTTTCTCAAGCCTACTGAATATAAAGTCCATCCAAGAGTTTTATCACCGGTGGAAATGATATTTGTAGCATGTTTCTAGTAGAGCTAGTTCAGTCTGGTAGGAAAATATGCAGTTGTAGGACACAATAGTGCCTCTGCTCCAAAGCAAGTATTTAGGCCTTGGGCAGGAAAAGGCAGAGGCAACAGTGAATGTTCCTCTGTGAGCTCACTCCAAAATTGCTCTGAGAACTCAAATCAAATAAATAAAGTTTAAGGCTTTCCAAGCCTCAACTGGAATGCATGCAAGGCATCACTGTTTTGGGGGTGAGTAGTAAGAAATGCATTCCTATTCCTTAGCACGCAAAAATAGTAAAGTAGGTTGCAATAGCAACTGCATAGCAATTTCAAACTTTTATAGTTTAGTCACTTAAAATACATTTTCAATTAAAGCTTTCCTTAGAATCTTCTATAAAAATTATATGTCTTATTAAGGAGTTATGAGCATTCACCAAAAGATGGGAGTGCAAGATTACAAGGATGAGTTTATTTCAATCATCACACACAAAAACAAGTTCTAAGTGAAATCAACGTCAAATTCACCAGAACATTCACAATGACAATACAACAATAGAAGAATGATAATGGCAAACATTTAATGAGGGTTTTGATAATATATTACTATTAGTCTTATAACTAGAACAGGGAATTAGCCTGACTCACACTTCTGCTGTTAAGGTCATACCATCACAGAAGGACCACCATTGGCACTCCGGCAGGCCAATCCTAAACATATTTTTTTCTGGAAGAAAGTTCCAGTGTGTCCAATTGGGCTAACTTTCAGGTAAATAAAATTAAAGTTGTAGTAGCAGGTGCAGCATTGGCTATTAAAGTTACAGTCAACTAGGTTAAAATGAAATTAAATAGCACAGAGACTCATTCTGGAACCAGTGCAAATTCCTAATTTAGCAACAATAAACCTTATTGACTGATTGCTTAGCCCATGCAAGAATAATAGTTAATCCAGTGGTAGGCAATGACTGATAATTAGGAAATCCAGACCCAAAGCATTTTTCTGCCAATGAAACTAACAACTCTTGTAAGGGTCTATCAAAAAAGATTTTAACAAGTGCTGTCCTTCATATTCCTACCAAGTTCTGCAGCAGAAATAGCAGAAGTTGGCAGGCTACTGTGTGGAAAGCCACTAAGAAGTCCATGAAGATCAATGGGGTCAAATCTTCTAAATTAATTCCTAGGCATACAATGTCCAGCAAGGCTGCTAAAGAAATTTCTGTCCCCAAAGCAGCAAAGAAGTCAGATTGGCACTGCTGAAAAATGACGAGTGATCCAAGAATAGCTGCACTTATACAGTAACCACATCATAAAATCACAGCATGGGAGATAAAACAATGCCAATATGTGCAGCTGGATATGTAGCAAATCTGCTGCAAATCAATGGTATAAATTATTTTGCTGCTGTTTATGTACTTTTTAATGCCTGAGATTTATCCTTAATTTTGCAATATATTTGGTCGTTTGACATGTCTTATTCTTGGGTTTTTGTTCACTACCTGGGATATTTATTGATACAAATGATTTTAAAAGGGATCTAAATGCTGTCTCCATTAAGGGTAATGGAAAGCTGCCCTCATTTAAGAAAGAACAATTCCCAAAAGCAGCAAGACCAGCCTTTACTGACTTTGATTATCCATGATCAGCCATCTAATCTAAGATTCTACACACTGCTTAATTCATTATCTAATGTAGCTGCTTACACTTAGTAGTAATCCACTAGGTCAGATGTCCTCAAACTGATCTACATGGACCACTAGCTGTCTGTATGCTCTATTCATAAGGTACATGGATAGAATGTGGAGCTGTCAAGATTATCTCAACTTGGCCCTCAGTCTAGGGCCTGTGATTTTGATAATATGGCACTGGTTTTGATGAGGATGCAGGCACATGTTATTTTATTTTTCTTTATATTTAATCCAAAAGTTAACCAAGTATTTGTTATACAACAGAGAACAAAGCAAAGCAAAAACTTAAGTGGTCTACCAAGTCCCACAATTTTTAATAATGGGGGCACCCAACTTTGCAAAACACTGAATTAGCTAATTTAGATCCAA